TAATCAATGAGTAAAAGTCACTGTACCTGCAACTTGAAGAGTAACTCCATTATACCAACAGAGTCCTGGACTGTCTGTAGTCTTCATACAGCAGTAAGTGTTTGCATCACTCTCTCTTAGATCATTGATGGTTAAAGTTGTTTTTTTCTCTTCAGACATGTTGCACGTTACACGTTGTCCATCCACAGAGAGCTCACTCTGAACATACTCTGATCCATTCAAGTGTACAGTGAACCATTTTCTGCTTGAAGTCAGATGTTGATGTGAGCAGTGCAGATCCACTGATGAACCTTTGAGAGCACAGATCCTGGTTTGTCCTCCAGTAACACCTTTAACACAAACATTCATTAATAAACAGATTTTTTTATTTTATTAATGAGAGAATTTATTTTATTCCAAAAGTAATTTGTAAATCACACCAACAATAATCATATCAACTTTTATACTTTTCTCTGTCAGTATATAGCGTTACATAAATTATCACTCATACCTGAGATCAACAAAATAAGTCCCAGAAAGTCTGTCAACAACATGTTGGCTGCAATCCAACCTTAAAAAAAAAGATAAATAAAATAAATAAATAACTAATAATAATAATACATTTAAAAAATGCTCTGTTCAAATAAAATGCCGCACCGAGTTAAAGATAGTGTGGACTGAAATTAGACTGCTTTTTTAAATTAAGGTTGCAAGCAAAACCAAACTTCCTTCCTCTTTTTTTTCTCTACTAGCGCGGCCTTTTTTTATGCCCTGAATTAGGAGGAGTCAAGAAAAATTCTACGCTAAGGTTATCATTTTATTGTTGTCACTCTGACCAACAGTAATTTATTTGACCAACAGTAATTTATTTTACTGACGTTATGTTTTGAGCCTTCAGTGAGTTGTGCAGTTGTGTTAAGCTGTGGAGTGTTGCTAAAACTTGTCTGCATTTGGTTTATGATAGAAACAAACTTGTCATGAAGAATGTCCAGGCTCGTCCTCGGTGATCATGAAGTGTACTGCAGAAAAGTCCAAAGTAATTTGATTTAAAAAATCAATACATGTATAAAAACATAAAACATATGTCTTCTATGTTTCGTGTTTTTTGGTGGTTCTTAGATGCATTTGCTCACCTGGCTTCCTGTTTCCATTTGATGTGATTGTTGTTGTAATTTGGCACTATATAAATAAAACTGAATTGAATTGAAATTGAATTTATTTTAACACGTGTGAAGACCAAAAGTTCGTCACTAGAACACGATTCATTAAATGGTGAAAATTCAACAAATGACTACATGTAATCAGTAACAGGAGCTCAGTGTGTGTGTCTGTAGCTTGTACAGTAGAAGAGGAACGATCCATATGTCACCCTGCATTTTGTGTAGTTATATTGCAGGTTTTCACTGGAACATAGTGCAAGTTTTCTACATTTCACACAGCAGTGATGATCAAATAAACAATGAGGGATCACTCATTACATTTACTCAATGTAAATCATTTAAATAATCACTGGTTTTACTGGAACTTATTTTCTGTAATATATTAACACTGAGATAATTACAGTTATTAATTATTAATAGTCTTTAATACACTGATAATTTATAAAGTAATTTTGCTGTCACTAACACTTAAATTCATTCTTTTCACTATCAAAAATCTTCACACTGAAAAAGTCTAAAAATAAACTTTTCTGCTACTTTTTTTCTGTGTATTACATTCTGAAGTGTCAAAACAATGAGGTTAAGTGTAATGCAGCAGCTGGGGTGGAGTGATGGTGGTGTTAAAGAATCATTTTGACTGCTGCTTTAATCTTCTTTGTGGATTTAACCAACCACAGTCTCATGTCACATGAGACATTATTGCTGCTTTCCAACATCTAAACAGTATAAAAGTAGAATTTGCCAAATGTTACTTAAGAATACGATCAGATTAGATTTAAATTGTCTGATGAATTTGCATTGAGTCTTATGTCTCTTTCTCATTATGTTTCTGCTGCTACCCAGGACCTGCATTGACCATACACAACACAGTCCACCCTTTACCACAGCAACACAGTTTATCACTTTAAACTGAACTGCAACACTGTAAACTACCAAATTTAGCCTGGACTTAATGTCCAATATAAACTTTAAACAACATATAATTACCATTTAATCATTATTATTTAATTTAGTGTCAAAAACTTTTCCCAGCACGAAACATCCAGTTAACCTCAGCAACAAATCATCTGAACATCTAATATATGATTAAAAACTCTAAAATTAGAATATAGCTGTAACCCTGTTTGAAATGTAAATAAAAACAAAATGCAGTGATTATGGAAATTTCTCAAACCCATATTTCACAATATTATGAATTTTTGTATCTTAACAAGAATACAAATAAAACCAGGAGGCTACCGTTCCATTTTCATTTGAAAGTTAAAAGAGTTTGAAGAGTGAGAGCAGAGACGTGAGGTGGTTTATGGGTATTTTGTGGAACATGACAAAAACGAAACCATCTGAGAAACTGTTTGAGGTTGAGAGTTTATTTTAGTAGTCAAAGTTGCAAATCATCAGAAAGTAATACGAAGGACACAAAGTGTTGCAATAAACCTGTCTTGGAAATGTATCCATTAAACAGAAAGATCTTTCAAAAATGAACCTACTGTACACACAAATTTCCAAAGAGCTACACATGCATGCAAACTAGAAAGCATTTATGTTTTTCATTTCTTCTGTTCATGTTCTAGTTAAGAGTGTGAAAACCACACACAGTTACAACAAAGTGTGAAAACCACTGACAAACATTCCAGCTGAGGTGTCTCTGCTATAAAGATGAACATTTTCCAGCCACAAAACCGATCAGAAAAACGTCCCTTTTAACCACTATGGTAACAAACTATTCTTTAGTGATCAGGCAACGGATCAGCTGTGTTGTTCTTACTGAAGATAGATGTTATATTGAAGATCATCCTGCTCTGCCATATATGAGATTAGGATTCAAGCAAATAGACAAACAATAAAAGCACCGAGTTATTTAACACTCAAGATTTATTTTTATCTCCTTCAGCAAAAGAAAATGCTGGTAATTTGAAGGAGTTGCAGGATTGTAAGAATTGAAAGTATGACATAGATATGAAGATAAAACATTTCTTATAGTAGTTAAAATTAAAAGAAATAAATGGATTAAATAAATTAAATACAACAAACATGGAAAAATAGCTTAAATAAGTTAAATGGTATATAGCACAATAAAATAAACTGCAATATGACAAAGATATCTTATAAAATTTCTATAAAAATTAACATGAGTGTTGAAATTTCTTTCTGGTTCACTTACACTGACATTTATAGAATAACTGTGTTAGGCAAATAAAAACATGCAAAAGTTCAGACATGATCAGATGTTGGTGGTGAGTGACACTGACGAGGAGGTTACAGGAAGTTATGATGTGAGACAGAAAAGGCTGAAGGCCCAACATCCACCTTTATTCTGATGGAGAAACAAAAGATCATCACTGTGAACAGAAACAGGACAGATGGGGGAATTTTATTTCTAACAGCAGAACTGTTTGTATTTAGTATCTGCTCTTCATTGTCAGATCTTTTTCTTCTTGGAGACTGACTTGAATTTGTTTTTTGACTGAAAAAAATGAATGAATATGTAAAAGAGTAGAGATTTTCAAAGCAGAGATTTAGTGAAAAAAGAAGAAATAATTTTTGTAAATATTTTCAGTATGTCTGGATTTTTATTCCAGACTGTTGCAGACCACATCTTCCCATCATAAAGTTATTTGCAAAATAGACTTATTATTTTGAAGTGTCTTGCCCAAGGACAACGACCAACGACTAGTAGAGAAAAAAAAGAGGAAGGAAGTTTGGTTTTGCTTGCAACCTTAATTTAAAAAAGCAGTCCAATTTCAGTCCACACTATCATTACCTCTGTGCTGCATTTTATTTGAAAAGAGCATTTTTTAAATTTATTATTATCAGTTATTTATTTATTTTATTTATCTTTTTTTTAAAGTTGGATTGCAGCCAACATGTTGTTGACAGACTTTCTGGGACTTATTTTGTTGATCTCAGGTATGAGTGATAATTTATGTAACTCTATATACTGACAGAGAAAAGTATAAAAGTTGATATGATTATTGTTGGTGTGATTTACAAATTACTTTTGGAATAAAATAAATTCTCTCATTAGTAAAACAAAAAAATCTGTTTATTAATGAAAGTTTGTGTTAAAGGTGTTACTGGAGGACAAACCAGGATCTGTGCTCTCAAAGGTTCATCAGTGGATCTGCACTGCTCACATCAACATCTGACTTCAAGCAGAAAATGGTTCACTGTACACTTGAATGGATCAGAGTATGTTCAGAGTGAGCTCTCTGTGGATGGACAACGTGTAACGTGCAACATGTCTGAAGAGAAAAAAACAACTTTAACCATCAATGATCTAAGAGAGAGTGATGCAAACACTTACTGCTGTATGAAGACTACAGACAGACCAGGACTCTGTTGGTATAATGGAGTTACTCTTCAAGTTGCAGGTACAGTGACTTTTACTCATTGATTATTTTCCAAATGACATCATTGTATAAGTTGTTCTCCATCATCCTCTCAGAGCTGCAGGTGAAGGTGATTCCTGCCACAGAGGGACAGACAGTAACACTGATGTGCAGCAGCAGCTGTCCTCTGACTGAAAAGCCTGCAGCCTACATCTGGTACAAGAACAGAGAGTTTCTCTATGAGGACTGGTCTCCCTGGTACCAAGAGCTGCTCAGCAGTGAGGAAGCAGTCACATACTCCTGTGCTGTCAAAGGCTACGAGGATCTCAGAGCCCCTGAAGTCTCTGTGGGTGAGTCATGATGTTTATTGTGCTACAAAACAAACAGAATAATTTCAATTAAGTAGTATAAATTTAAGAATGAGTATATCTCAATACATCTTTTGTTGTACAGATTCCATCAGAGAGACCTGCTTCAGTGTGACCTATGCTAAAGGGAAAATGTGTTCTTACAGTCAGACTTCAGTAGATGAGCCGTGCTCCATCACTTATCCCAGAGGTGACGTTCAAACAAATTGCAAAACCAAACCTCTTAATTTGTTTTAATTATTGTCTCCATTCATTTCTAAAAGAAAAAAGAAAGAAACAAAAAAAATATATTAAACACATAGTAAGAAGACTGTTATATCTCATAGTGACAAGTGGAAAATGTGTTTATTGTCTTTTTAAAGAGGTTCACATACTGAGGACTCCAGGGGAAAAACAGGGGTTTGTCACACTGACCTGTAACAGCAACTGTACACTGACTAACCCTCAAACTGCCTACATGTGGTACCGAAATAGACAAAGTTATAGTGAGAATCAACAGTTAATTGCTGAATATTGGCCTAATTCGTGGAACCCTTGGGGAGCAAACGTCTTTTGTGCCGTTAAAAGCAACGAGTATCTTCAATCTGCAGAAGTCTGTGAGTAATAAAGAACTGTGAACTCTGTCAGTTATTATAATCATAAAGGTCTTTCAAACAACTTGAAATCTTCCATCTATATTTCAGGTGTTCATTATAAACTAAACTGCTCAGCTGTCAATTATGTCAGCAGGAGAATCTGTGCTCTGGAAGGATCTTCAGTCAACATCACAAGTGAATACTCACATTCTGATAACATGAAGCCAGAGTTTAAATGTTGGAGTAAAAAATGGAGAAAAGATAAAGTGGAAGTTGAAGAGCTGATTGAGGCTGCAGGTCGTGTGGAGTATCAGGACAACATGAAGAACCAACACATCCTGACCATCAACAACCTGAAGAAGAATGACTCAGGAGGATACACATTCAGATTCAAGAGAGATCATGAAGGATGGACACAGTCTGATCTGCCTGGAGTCTTTTTGATTGTCACAGGTAAATCTAAACTCCTCACTCAGCAGACTTTACTCATTAATGTCTGAACAGGAGCAGAGGTGGAAGAAATATTCAGATCCTTTAATGGTGAAAAAAAGTAATATTATACTCTAACACACTCCACATTCTCTGCAAGTCAAACCTTGAAAGTTTTTTTTAAGATATTTTCAGACAAATGTGTTTAAATTAAAAACATATATATAGCAACTTGTAGCTGTGTGTGTTCAAGCGTTGAACCCTGTTTGTTCAGACTGCTGGGTATTTTAGGCTGAAGTACAGTGAATCCTATTCATTTGTAGGTTTCTTGTACTTTTAGACTTGTATTTCTCTGAATACTCAACTTTAAATTAAACTGTGATCATTATTATTAACAATGGATATTTCTCATATTCCAGAACAATTGTTTTACAACTTAATTTACATAAATCATGCATCATATATAAAATGCAAGAAGACAGATAAATATTGTGTAGTACTAAGTATCTTCAATTTGTACTCAAATATACTGCTTTAATGAGTAATTTTCACCACTCAACTGGAGGAAGAAAGATTTTGTAGACAAGCATTATTTAAAATTTAAACTCAGTGTGTAAGTGACAGAGGAGATTTTCTATAAGATGAGATTTTATTTTTGAACAATGTTCCTCTTTCAGAGCTGAGAGTGAAGATGAGTCCTTCTGCAGTGGTGACAGAGGGTCAGAGAGTCACACTGACCTGCAGTACCAGTTGTCCTCTGACTGACAACACAAACTACATTTGGTACTTGAACAGTCGACCTCTGACCCCGAGAGAGAACCAGAACAAACATCTGATCCTAGACCCAGTCAGCAGGGAGGATGCAGGAAGCTACTCCTGTGCTGTGAAAAGCAACAAAGATATCAGCTCTGCTCCAAAGACTCTCACTGTCCAAAGTATCACAGGAACATGGACACCAGCAGCTGCAGGAGTTTCTGCAGCTCTGCTGGTTTTAATACTTCTCACTGTCTGCTGGTGTGTTAGGTAAGTGTGGGATCACAACAATACATTCAATTTCTGCTCTGAAATCACTTATTTTCCTGTTTATTAATTTTAACCAGGAAACGGAGAACTTCTGCTCAGTCTCCAACAACTGAAAGGTCTGACCAAATTGAACAGGTAAAGATTAGAGTTTAAAGAAAACTTTGTGGATTGTCTTTCCAGCATACAGTAAAAGGAGTCAAGTTTAAAATTGAGTAAAAAATGACTGCTGTTTATCTCATCAGCTCAGTCCTGGTACTCTATATGAAGACACCTCAGCACAACCAAAGGAAGTCCAGTACAGCAGTGTCCACTTTAAAAACAAGCATGTGGTTCCTCTTTATTGCACCGTACAGTCAGATCAGCCCAGAGAACAGGAGCCTGTTCATTATGCTGCTGTCAGCTTTAGAAATAAACTGAGCTCTGATGGAGCATCTGGTGTCAGTCCAACGGGTACAGACACACAGATTTATTCTGATATAAAGCACTGAGACACATTGCCTTTGTCAAACATACAAAGACTCATGCACCTATTGTGTGTATCGGACTTCATATATGTGATCTTTATATTTTCCTGTTAAAATAAGAACATGGGGATTAAAAGGGACTCGGTCCTTTCTTGAATGCCCAGCTTGAACCCACAGACTTCTCTTCTTGAGGCTTTATGACAGAATTTCACAAACCTGTGGGAGCTTTGAGCAGCTGTAATATACATTTTATGGTGTCTCTGTTCTTTGTAATTCCTCTCCTTGACTTGTTTCCTGCTTTGTCAGTATTGTTGTTATTGCTGTGTTTCCTCCAGTGCTCAGTCAGTGCTCCTGTGTGTCTCTGCTGTTTAAAGTTTTGGATTCATGTTTGTTATTCCCATCCTGTCTTTTCTTTTGTTACTCCTCCTAAATTCTATTTTTTAAATAGAATTTATTTTTAGATGTTTTACAAAAAAAAAACGACTATTGAGTCTCTGTAGTAATTTTCCTGAATGTCTTAATTTTGTGATGATGCTCTTAAGTAAATACATAAATAATGTTGTAAACCAGCAGAAATTAAAACTTTTATATAATTTATGAAGTTATTGTTGTTTTTCAGCCTCCTGTTTCCTTGCGCTCTCACTGGCATTTATTTAATGAAAAGAAGATTCAATTTATTTCTGTCACTGAGTAAGAAAAAAATTACATTATAGATGTCTCTATAAAAAATAAAATTAATCATGAAACAGGACATGATTTTGCTGTTATCTTGTTGTTGTTGTTGTTGTTGTTTTCAGACCGAATGAAATCAAAAGCCACTGTGTGAAGTCTGTAACAGACATATTCTGGGCAGAATCTCATGTTTATCCAAGATTTTCATTCCGTTTCTCTCAAAGATTATTTTCCTTTCTTATAATTACTGGAGACTTTAAAATGTGTATAATATAAGTTTGTAAAGAGAAAGATACAAAATGATTTCTGAAAATTGAAGATTGAATGTTAACAGGATTTTTTTTTACAGTTTTGCTCTGGTGTGTTCAGTGTTTAACAGTACATTAAAGTACAATAGGATTCATAATATAAATGAGAAAGAAAAGTGTCTAAAGAACAGTGATAGTCAAGCAATATGTTTGATGTTTCTGTTAAAGGTGTTCAGCGGTAAAATGTGTGGTGCTGCATGTCTTGTGGTGAATTTAAATATTGATACCTTCACTATTACAAAATAACCACAGACAGCTTCGTGCCTCTGCTCTCACTCTCTCACAACGTTTACTGAAAACATAATTAAATTTACTCATGGTGCATGTTCATGAAGTCTGAATATATTAAAACTAAAGTTTATAAAGAACTAAAGAAAGGAAAACAAATAAGGATGAATTCAATATGTTTTTAAGTCTTTCTAAAACATCAAGGAGGAACTGCCTTTTTATACTAATCACCTGCCAATACTGTCTTCAGCTTTTCCGTCAGAAGGCTGTTAACTTTGATAAATAATTTATATTTTTGATGCTATATAGACTTTGATAAAAACAATTGTAATAATGAAATTTTAGAATCATACAGTCAATTACTGACTGGAAGCTAAAGACACAGTTTAAATCTACAACAGCCATGTGTTTTGTAGAAGTTGGATGCCTGTTTTTAAGAAATTCTGCTTTCCCTCAAAAAATAAAAAATCTGGAAATCTGAAATGTGTTTGTGTTAAATCAGAAGTAGCTAATGATAAATCATTTCACTTTCAGCATCCATATACCTTCTTCTGTTTATCCAATTTAGAATCATAGCTGGGTTGCAACCTATCTCAGCTGTCATTTGGGATGAGGCAGGGTACGCCCTGCACAGATCACCAATCTGTCACCATTCATACTGACACTTAATAACCTCTGGTCACTTCAGAATCACCAGTGCATGGAGAGAACATGCAATCTACACAGAAAGAAAATGCAGCCAGCAGAAACCCAGGACTTTCTTTCTGTGAGTCAGTGGTCCCAAACAAGCAAATCCCTAAAGAGCTGTCAAACAATAGATTAATAAAACACAGTAAAGCTTTATTTAAAGTGTAACATTATGCAAAGCTCTAGCAACATGATATAAAATACACGAAAGAGCATTTAAAGAATTATACTGGTCAAGCCCTGTGTGCACTTTGCTCTTAAAGAGAAAACACAGCTATTGTCACGGACCAGGCTCCGGGGATTCGGGGTCTGAGCAGTGTGGACTATTGTTGTTTTTATTTTGTGATGTGTGTGTCTTCTGCACTGCTGCTGTTCTTGTGATTCTCCATGCTTGTATGTATAGGTAAGTGGGTGTGTCTGTGAGTGTGGCTAAGCACTGGGTTTCAGGCAGGCCTGGTGGGTGTGTCCTGTCTAGAGGTTGGCTACACCTGAAGCAGAAGATCACACACACCTGCAGCTAATAAATCCTCGTCGGGGAGCTTCTTAAGAGTGTGGCTGAGCGCTCCTCAGCGCTGGATCGTTGCGTGAGACTCCATGTTAGTGCTGATAGTGTCAAGTCCAGAGAGTGCATGCCTGCTGTAGTCGAGTGTCCTGACAGTTGCCTCTTAGTTATTTTCTCCAGAAAGGAGCGGGGAAGACAAGAGCAGCGAGCACGCTGTGCGGGGACACACAGGAGCGGAAGAGCATGGAGCACGGACTTGTGGGTGAAGACACGACACGGAAATCAAGGGGAACACACAGGGATTTATGTTGTGAACTATTTACACCACAGTAAAGAAACACACTGTTAAGCACAGAGAGTCCAGTTTTTGGGTCCTCCTTTCCCCACATCCCCACGGTCTGCCACACAGACCGTGACAGCTATAAAAAACAGTGATGACAGCATGTTACTGCAAACAATCACATGATACTTTAATATACATCACAGCTCACAACTAGGGGTTAAAGAGGGATCTGTGCTGTTTGGATTTAGCCAACTAAATTCAACTAGATGTAAGCAGATGTTACACAAGTTATTCGACTGATTTCCAAATGCTAGATGTTATAAAGCTAGCATGAAAGGTGGAATTCAGTCTGAGTTGAGTCAGCATAATCCGCTTTAATACTGTATAAATTCACTTTTGATTCACTTTATATAATCTGGTAACAGTAACCAGTCCGACATAGTGAATCATTGGACTGTCTGTGAAGATTCTTAAGTCATCCAGGTCATCATATTGTAAGGAGTTTGGAAAGAAAAGCGTCTGGACTTCTTTAGGTTTCTTGAAGACATTTCACCTCTCTTCCGAAAAGCTTCTTTAGTTCCCCCAAGAGGGTCATGGACCCCCTATTGATCCTCTACCAAATCACACAATCCAAGGTGTCAAAATGACTGTGGATCAGAAACACCCAAGGTTTTGGGTGAACCCATTGTGAAACCTAGCCCCACCCTATCATGTGAAACATGACTGGGACACTCCACCAATTGCTCTTAGAACTGAAGAAGCTTCTTTCCAAGCTCCTTAGATCATTTGGACTGGTTACATCAGTATCACAATACTGCAAACTAACCAGTCTACCCTGCATTAGTCTGTCTGGTACTTCCATGCAATCTTTGAGTAACACAGTTATTATAATTTAGTTACAAATAACTGAAAGGACAAATACCTTGAATGTATACTTAAATACCCTTTCAGTATACCCAATGCTCACAACCCCCAAATGTTATTTAAAATCTTTAATTCAGTGGTCAACCCTTGTCCCGAAGTGGCGTGTCCCAGCCCTCTGTGAAGAACTTTTAAATTACTTCACGGATAAAATTAGATTTTTAAAAGCCTTACACCTCTTAGTGAGGAACTCCTAGCTTAGAATGCCCATCAACTTTTCATCAGTTTGAGCTGGTATCACTTCCCACTCTTAAGCGAATAATTCTAACTCTGTCCATGATATCCTCCCATCTCACCTTACCAAGGATGGTTTTGATGTCATTGGGCCCAGTATCCTATCATGATCATAACGACCATGGAAATTACAGGCCGATTTCCAAACTTAAATTCTTATCGAAAGCATTGGAGAAGATAGTCCTCTCACAGATGCAGGCTGGATGCTAATTTTTTCAGCAATTCTGGCTTTAAACAACGCCATAGCCCCGAAACAGCGCTGCTGAGAGTCCTTAATGACCTTCTTTTATTTGCTGACTCAGGGTGCTCTATGGTCTTAGTTTTATTCGACTTGACTTCTGCCTTTGATATGGTGGACCATAATATCCTCCTATTGGGCTTGAACATGCAGTAGGCATAAAGGGTAATACCCTTAACTGGTTTAGATCGTATTTGTCGGATAGGTCTTACTCCGTCACCATGGGTGGCTGCTTTTCCTCTGTTGCTCCCCTCTACTGTGGTGTGCCCCAGGGATCTGTGCTGGGGCCTATGTTGTTTTCATTGTATATGCTGCCCCTAGGCTCTATCTTTGAGAAGTATAACATCTCCTATCACTTTTATACTTACGATATTCAAATTTTCTTTCGGCTGTCTGATGACATTTAGTCGTCAGTACACTGTCTCCTAGAGTGCTTATGAGAGGTCAAAGATTGTCTCTCTGATAACTCTCTTATATTGAACGAAAAGAAAACACAAATCATGCATCATGTCAAACTTATGTTTGACAAATAAGTATCCTCGGTAGTTGAATCTAGTTTTTACCAACTGGGTCAAATCTTCAAGGCCAGGCACTACATACCGCGCAAGGACCTTGAGAAACTTGCTTTTGTGACCTCTAGATTAGACTACTGCACGGCTATTTAACTAAAAAGTTGGTTCGGCCAGATTTTCAAAACAAGGAATTTATTTGGGCCAGATATTTTTTAGCAGCCATTAAGCAGCATATCAAATTTCAAACCAACACAAACGTATTGAAAAACAAGTAATGTTTATTCATTTTGTCCCTTTTAAATCTGGTGACATCTCACAAATGCACACGAAAAACTCCATCCCTCTCCACTCCTTCTTCTTCACATGAAATAAAAAACAAAAACATTTTGAAAGTTCCCTTTCAATATATATGTGACCCAGACACATCTTAAAGTGCATTTAACACAATTAAAATAGAACAGTCAATCCTATCAAAGCTATCAGTGCACAAACCCATAGCAGTAACACATAAGAATACAACATTTACTGCTGCACACTGAGGTAATACAGTTTTGTTTTATATCAACCCCTGTAATTAGGCATGGCTTTGTTAGACATTCCACATTATGTTGATATGTGGGCTATAGTTACCCTGACATTATTAAT